ATGAGAGTTTCAACTGTTGAAAGGGCTTTAAACGACACCAGACGATGAATAAGGGTCTTATCAAGCGAAACGGCCCTTTGAACAGTTTGCACTGAAAGTGTCATTTGGACCTTGAACTGTTTGGTTCCCATTGAAGTCCATTATATGGAGAAAATCCTGGAATGTTTTCATCAAAAACCTTAATTTCTTTTCGACTGAAGAAAGAAAGAAATGGACATCTTGGATGACATTGGGGTAAGTAAATAATCAGCAAAAGTTTTTTTTAAAAGTGAACTACTCCTTTAAGATGATACGGGCAAAACATCATAACCTGATAAACTTGTGTTCAAGTTAATGAGGCATTAAACATGGCGAGGAAAGAAACTATGAGGCCCAAAAACAAAAGTTGTGCTGGCTAATTCATAAGAAATGGATCTTCATGCTTGAGTCACTGGTTTTCATGTGTACGTTCCTCAGGAGATCCGGCTGTTCGGATGTGTGAAGCGCTAATGCCTTCCGCAACGGTGCAGTCGTTGAATCGGACACGTGAGACATGGACTCGCCAGCTTATTAACACCTGCGCTCTCAGATCACACACATTAGGTGGGGTTCATTATGATAAGAACCGTCGAGCAAGCAACGCCATTTCTCAAAGACTGTGCGAGGCGTCACTTCTCTATTACATGCTCTTTTCTTCATTTAAAAGCCACGAGGGACTAAATACTCTTCAGCTTTCGAGAATCCCGTATGCAAACTTGGTCAAAGTTTACCTCGTTGACTTTTCCCTAACCCTCCGAATCTGTGAAAGGCATCATAAACTGATCTTTGATCAGGTTAAAACATCATTAATGTGTAACTGAAAACACATGGCCGCTCCGTAGAGGAAACGTCCGTGTCTTATCTAAACGTTCCAGGAGGTTTCCTACTGTAGACCCCACAGGGATCAAGAGTGTCCCGCTGAGACTCACGCTGGCTTCGCTTCGGGCCTCCAGCAGCTGATCTCAAACCAGTTTGGCCAGGGACGATCTGGAGGAAGTGGCAAAGTCATGGCCAAGACCAACACACTGAAGAGTGGAGTTTTATTGTGATGATGACGTTTGGTTCTCAGAGGGTTTTCCCATTCAAAAGAACAGGAAATGCTGAGGAGGAGAACAAAAGAGATTTTGATCATGTCTTTAAACCCGGTTCCATCGTCCCGTATGGCAGACTGGAGTCAGGAGGTGTTAGCCTCTGCCATTTGCTGCTCGTGTGTGTGGACACTCGTATCGTCACTCAATAGTTTAACAGCTGCCAATACACAGGGTCTCTGTGCTGGGATCAGACGGCTGTGGGGTCTATAAAGAGCCCCCCCGCCATGACCCGACGTGAAATCTCACACCTTTCCCTGGCATTAACCATGCAATCTTCTCTTTTGATGCTCTAACTGGCCACTTTAAGAGCTCAGGTACGGGCCGTCCCGGCTGAAACACACTCAAACGTGTTCAGAACGGGCAGGCTTGATCAATGCCACTGAAAAATGGGTGAAATATGGACAAACCCAGTTATATTTGGTCAAATCTTTTTGGGTTTGTTTATATTCAACCCAAATTTAGGTTAAAACAACTGCATTTTTCAGTGTAGTGTAGTTTGAAGCATTTCCTTAATGCGGTGATCTCCTTAAAATCACAAAGAATCATTTCTAGTCAGTAGAAACAATTGGGAGTCGTTTGGAATGAATTATGTGCCGTTTTAATTCATTTAAAATATGAAATTACCCCAAATTTCTAGGGTTTCCACGACATAATATCTTGACGTAATGGGAACGTAATATCTTAAAATGGTATGAGTTTGTGGTTAATTAAACCACGCCATGGTCACAGGTTTAAATCAAAGGGAGTAAATACCATAGGGATGCACGATATATCGTATATCGTATCGTAATGTTATCGTTATCGGCCTGGTAAGAAAATATGGCCGATATATTAAAGCCGATAAATAATTTATTGTTCCCTTCAGCTTAGACACTTGTTGAGCACTGTTTATGTTTTTGAATTTCTTGAAACATGATTGAAATCTCTTCAAAAAATGAAAATACGGTTCGCAAATCTGTTATATTGGCTACATAACACTATATTGAGAACATCATTTTAATCGTGCGCTTGGGACATGGGTTTAATTGTGAGTCTTTTGTTTTTGTAATCAGACTTTCAAAATTAAATATCGGCCGATATATCGGTTATCGACTTTCAAATATAAAGAATTATCGGTTATCGGTATCGGCCAAAATTTTTATATCGGTGCATCCCTAAAATATCATCAGTCAGAAACATTAATGTAATAGAGACTATTTTTTTAAATCCTTATTATTTTATCATCTGACCAAGTTCAAAGTTATATCAGTATTTACTTTTATAGCATTAAGAATTAGCTTTTACTAAGTAATTTTGTTATGTGCTTTTCTCATTCTATATATCACATTCATTTTAGTACTCAAATAATTTACTACAAGCTTTTCTCCATCTAATATTTATATTTTTGCTTCATTCAATAAATGAAAATGATTGTTAATATTTTTTTTTAGATTTTATTACTACGTCTTTATATTGCTTTTAGTATTACTTAGATTATTCCTCAACAGGTCAGATTACATTTCGCAATTGGCTACAACAAACACCCCGAGGCCGTCTGATTGGCTCGTTCGCCAAAGCCCGACATCCTTCCGACCAATGACCCGACATCATCACCAGAACCACATATTGGCCTTAATTTAGATCAAAGTCCAATTATGACTCATACGTATTGGGTTGGATGGAGGCCAACAGACGGACACAGGAGGCAAACAATCACCACCTACCCCCCAACATCCCCTAAATAAAAGATCTGACGCACATTTGGTCCCGTATGTAAGAAAACAAACCCTTGGCGTAGTGTGCCTGACAAAGGGAGGGAATGACACATTGGCAGCACTTCATAAGAAACCTCTGGCAGCTGCTAATGGGTCTTAATGGCCTTCCTCGAGTCTGAGGGCTTCACACCGGCCCGGGACACTGCCTTTGACATGGCCTGGCTAAAACACACGGGGTGGTCACTGTGAGGAGATGATGTCACCCGTTCCCAGAATGCACTTCATCTCCCTGCCATTTTGATCACATGGAAGCTAAAAGAAAGCACACGCATAAACAATCCTTTAGAGTAACTACAAACACGCAAGTTATTTCATCTGAATGAGACGGACACGTCGCAAGCTCATTCCTTTTGTCGCAGTTACAATTCCAGCACTTAAGGGGGCGATAGAGCGAACGTCTGTGCAATGACATAAATATCAATGTTAAAAAAAAATAAAATCCGTTTTTGATTTCTTAACTCTAAAACCGTATTCTGGACAAATGTGGGCAAAATAGTTTTGATTTATTTTTTAAAAAATACTTCCCTTGATCTGAGCGGTACAAGACTTGGCTACTTTCCCTAAGTTTGCCTCCTGAACACACACATTTTTTTTTCTGACTCAATTCTACAATGTTAAGTGGGTGAAAAAAACCCTCCTTAATCTTGTATTTGGGTCAAAAATGGCCACCCATAGAAATGAATGGGAAAAACTGTAATTTAGAGCATTCTAAAATAAGCCAAAATAAGACACCAGATGACAGCAAAGTCACTTCATCTTTAGGTTTCAGCTCTAAGAACTTATTGGAAAGATATTTTAATGTTGTTAAAAAAAACCCATAAAAATAGCATAATTTACATAGAAAATATGTTACTTTTTGAAGTAAATAAATTCAAAAATACCCCCAAAATAAAAAAAACACCATAAATGGATAGACAAAACTTTATCGAAGACTGTAATTTATAATAAATAAAAATTAGGATCACACCTGAGTCCTCTGTGCCCACATTTGTCCACAATTACAGGATTAAGGTCTATAAAGTGAATACGGTTTGAGGTGTCTTAATCTAAAAAAAAAACAACAAACACCAAAGATCAGGTAAAAATATCATAAGTGTATTTTTGGTTTTGTGACATCATCAATGCAGCAAGTCAGAAATATCAATGTTCTCAGATAAAAAGCCTGAGGACAGAATAATGAATACCCCATATATCTCCAAAGAGCACAGAAAAGCTCCCAGACCACCTCGTCTTACATTCTCAACACAAGCGTAGAGAGACAGAGCATTCAAAACACGACGACAACAGACAAAATATTCATTTACAAAGAGGAAAAAATAGAAACATCTCTTTTTCAGTGTACAGGTAGTTTGGTCACACATGCTCAGTGCATCGAAACATCTCAAAGTCCTCATGAGTTGAAAAATTCTGCACTCCAAAAAATACTGGTAGCTAATTTATCCGTCTACAAGTAGAAAACGTTCGGTAAAAAACATTCCTCCGTCTCACTGACTGTGGAAAAACTCTGATTTGGCTGCCAGCCATGATCATACAGACACGCTCCGAGTAAAGCAGTGCTACTTCAGTTTCAAAACTAAATCCCACACGGCAAAAACCCAAACAACCGAGGTTAGGGCACGTCTCTTTGGTTAAAGGGACAGTTCACATAAAAAGTACGTTTCTGTCTAGGGCTGTCAAACGATTAATCCAAAATAAAAGTTTGTGTTTACATAATATATGTGTGTGCACTGTGTATAATTATTATATATATATATATATATATATATATATATAATACACACCTACATGCTTGTATATATTTAAGAAATATTTTCATGTACATACATTTATATACAAATATAAATAAAAAATGTTCCCTAAATATACATGCATGTGTGTGTATTTATATATCTAAAATAATTATACACAGTGCACCCACATATATTATGTAAACACAGACTTTTATTTTGACAGCCCCTTTTCTGTCTTCATTTTCTCACTATTATGTCATTATAAACTCGTAAAGAACACAAAAGATGTTTGTCAGGATGTTCCCGCTGCTCTTTACCATACAATGAAAGTAAACGTTGGCTTTAAAATTGTCAAAAAGCAGTGATAGTGAACGAATACAATAAAAAAGGTGCTTTTTGTCGCTCTCCATCCACTTTCATAGTATGAAACATGCTGCCGAAATTCTCCTTTTGTGTTCCCCGAAAGAAAAAGTCACACAGGAGTGAGGTGAATGAAAAAAGCAACGTCATTTTTGTGTGAACTTTCCATTTAACCGTTCAAAGAGCCAAAAATAAGGGATCAGCACCATTTTTAGGCTTTTTCATCTCATAAAAGAAGGCCGTGACGTTTTGCCGTAATCCTTGAAAAGAAAAAAAGCTAGTTATATCACATTCATATTTAATTGTGATGTGAATAACAACGGTCACATCTTCTCAGTGCTGGTGACACGACTAACTCTTTCAGCCGCTGTCTACTACAATCCTCAAATGGAAAGTTAATAAAACTACAAATGTGTGAGGAATACAACAGCGATGGGATTTTTGGTGTCTTGATATCTTTAACCAATACAGTAATCTATAATAATTGAACTCTTGAAGTGCCATGCAGAAATGTCTAGGACTCTCCTAAACTCTAGACGCAGATGTACGTGAAGCCAGCTCTGAGAGAAGAAGTTATGGCACACATGCAGGAAAACACAGGAAAAAAACAACAACACTTTTGACTCCTGACGTTCCTTGTTTGGTTGCAATGCCACTGAAACTCGATAGTGATATGACTCGTGTTTATTTTACACCAAACGTCAAGCAAAACCTACTTCCTGTTAAATCTGTAAACAACGTCGTGATGGATTTAATGCCCAGGAAACTCTCGAGTGTGTCAAATTGCATTACACAAACTGCCACTATTACACCATCCATCCAGAGTTTTTCTCAGACTCTCCAGTGAAAATGGCACTTTGCAGGATCGTACGCAACGAAATAAACAACAGAAGAACGTAGAAACCCAGTCCATGCTTAGCAGCAGGAGCAAAAACAACAGGACACGAGTGCCAGGGTAGGAAAAAGCCCTTTCGCGCGATAGAAAACCAGACGAAGGCCATCAGAGTCAGATGTCCATGTAGTCGTCCTCCTCATCGGACTCGCTCTCCAGCGACGACTCCTGACTCGACGTCTCCTGGACCTCCAAAGCGGGCTGAGCCAGAGTGTCTTTCTTCACGTTCGCTGCCGACTGAGAGGACAGGATCACATTCTGACGGGACAAAGAGAAAGAGAGCATCTCATGACCCGCAACTTAAAAACCATTACAAAAAGTGTCCAAATACTTATATATTAAGTGGCTTTAAGCACCATGTACTTACATTGAAACGAATAATTTGATACAATGGACTTATTGTGTAAATACAATACATTTAAAAAATACCAGCACTAATTTATGTAATTACATCTGTAATTACACAGCTGACCCATCCCTTACACTTAAACCTACCCATACCACCACACCCGTCCCTAACCTTACCCGTATCACACGTCAATGGCAGCAAAAGTGTTTTACAATACAACATGAGCACAATAAGTACATTGTACTTATTTTTCAATGTAAGTAAAGCCACTTAATATAAAGTGGGACCCTTTTTTGGGTCTTTGTATCTGTGGATGTGTCGATACTAGGGGTGTAACAATACAAAAATGCAACAATCTGTATTGTGGATAGTTCACCTAAAATAAACATTACTTTGTGAGAAAAAAAAAATCAAGTTTTCAGAGTTTTAGTGTCAGTACTATAATATAATGTTGAATATAATGTACAATAATGCAATAGGGGAAAGTGTGTTGGTCCTGATAATGCCAAATATCTTGTTACCAGGTAAAAAGTGTCCTACATTATTTTAAATAAATCTAGTCAATGACAGAGCACAGGCATATTCGTCTAAAATAATTCTGTGTTTTCAGCTTCAGAATCATGAATATGTTTATTCTGGTGTCTCTATTGTCCTGTGCGTTGGGTTTCCAGCACCAAACCCGAGACTATCCATTTACACACACATCTAGCATTTTAATCAACTGTACATTTTGATTAGGGCTGGGTAATAAATATCAAATTCTCAATATTAATCGATTCTCATTTTTACGAACCGATATCGATTCTTAAATCTGAAGAATCGATTAGTCATCCTGTTTCATTTGAATGAATGGGACATTGTATCACAGCTGCGCGCAGCAAAAAAAAATTCGCAATAATCTTTGTCCTTTGTTACTATTGATATAAAACAAAGTCTCAATTTTCAAATTACGTCCATTTTCTTTAGAAATTCAAAAACATAAATAGTGTTTTGGCGCTGTGGGGTGAGATCGCTTTGGCTCAGCTCAAGAGAAGCAGCAGCGCTGATCTCTCTTCCGGCTTAATAATACCAGTTACAGCGCCAAATAAACATGAAAGTGTGTTAAAAGATAGAGTACAACTTATCGAAATCCGTATCATGTCACATTGATTCGCTCAATCAGCGTTTCAGTTAAACAGCTTGTAATCAATGTCATGTATCGTCATATTTACCTCAGAAAATCTACATAAACTCGTTAGTCAGCTAGAAAAAATAACTCTAGAGAGGAGCATTTTGCTAAATATATACACCATATTACATTTGCATTATAATCTTAATGTTCTTCAATATTTAATGCATATTTGAATAATTCTGGCAAGTTTTTAAGACAGCCACCATTTAAATGCTTATATTTCATATAATCTTCTTATTATAAAAATAAATAAAAGTGTAATTTAAGTGTTTGTATAGCTACAAAACAGTTAATTATTACCTTCATATTAGGCTAATGAAGTCTATAGGCTACAACTAGACTCCCATAGTTTACAGCGTTAGTTAAGAAATTTGATTTCCTTGAGAAAATTTTCCATTTATTGTAACTGATATCCAAAATAATCGATATTGAATCGGAATCGAATTGTAAGCTTGTGAATCGAAATCGAATTGAATTGTGAAATCTGTGTCAATACCCAGCCCTAATTTTGATCATGTGTTTTGGAGTATCGCAATAATAATATCATATCGAGTCAACACTGTACACCGCTCGTCTCGAGGATCAGCCAGCTCCAGATACGGACCTTGAGTTTCTGTTTGGTCTCCTCAGAGATGCTCCCCTTGGGCGAGAGCAGGGTGGGGGTGGGGGGCGTGACGGTGATCTCGGGCGGGAATTTGGTGACAGTGGAGGGAATCACCAGTTTGGGCATGTTGGGGGGGATTCTGGAGCGGATGCGACTCGGGTCAGCCTGCTTCCACTGCTCACTTTCTGGAGGAATCAGGAAACACTCACATATTATTATTCTAAAAATGTGACCAAATGAAGTAGAGAATGAGTAAGTGTTATTGGTAAAACTTTACAATAAGGTTCATTAGTTAATACATTAACTAACCATGAGCAATACATTTTTACTGAATTTGGAAATCTTTGTTAATGTTAATCAATAAAAAATACAGCGGCTCATTGGTCATGTTAGTTCACAGAGCATTAACTGATGTTAACTTTATTTTACAGTGTAATTATATATTTAAGTACTGAGTAATATTAAGTTACTACATAGGATTAGGGTTTGGTTGAGAGCATGTAATTATGCATAATTTACTGTTATAACTATGGTAAGTTAATGTATATATTTAACAATGACACTGTAAAATAAAGTGTTACCCAAGATTTTAATAAAGTATTAGTAAATGTTGAAATTAACAAAGATTAATAAATTCTGCGTAAATAAAGTTAATGCTAACTAATGTAAGTGTAAAGTGTTACTGTGTTATTGTTGATTGACATATTTATAATTCATTTAACAAATAATTACACTAGCGTTCAAAAGATCCAGTTTGGTAAGATTTTTTTATTGTTTCTTTTGCTCACAGAGGCTGTGTTATTTGATCAAAATTACAGTAAAAACTGAAATATTATTACAATTTAAAATAACTGTTTTCTATGTGAATATGCTTTAAAGTGTATATATTCCTGTGATCAAAGCTCAGAGTCACATGATCCTTCAGAAATCACTCTAATATGAGGATCTGATGCTCAAGAAACTGATTATCATCAATGTTAAAACAGTACAGAAACAGTGATACATTTTTTCAGGATTATTTGATGAACAGAAAGTAAAAAAAAAAAAAACTATTTAAAAGCTAACAAAACTATATCATTAAAAATATCTTTACTGTCACTTTTGATCAATTCAATGCATTTTTTTCTAATCTTTAAAGATAAATACAAATTTCCAGAAAATGTTTCATTTTTTAAATGGTTTATTGAAGAAATAATTGGTTAAAAATTGTCTAATAACGGTTTATTAGCCAAAATCTATTAAATTTGTTGATGCACATTAGATTTTTGTTGAGTATCGTTATTGACACATCATGCTTTTATGGCTTGTATGATATCGTGATTCATAGTTGAGAAGGAAGAACAGCTCAGTTTTATTCACAGGCCCAAACTGGCCAAATATATGCAATTTGGTGCAGATGCTGATATATATAAGGCCAAAAAGAAAGATGAACTTCTGATGCTTGATTGTAAATCAATAAGATCTTTATAACAGACTACTGACATAAAAAGCATATAAATATCAGTCGTCACTCTATATCTGCCAATAACAGGTCTCGGTAAGATGATATTTAAGTGCTAGTAAATCTAAGTGGCTTCATTCCAGTAAGTGTTCATCTTAACAATATAGAAGTTAAAATCATTAAAGATGATTTTAGTAAGCAGGATGTTTGTACAATAATAATAAAAGGCTTTTCAATTGCTAAAAACCCTAAAACAGGTATTTTCAGCTCAGTTTTGTTCTTGACGACAGTTTCGAGGTCTTAAAAAGCACCTCTCATATCTGATACAGCAGGCTTTAAGGACTAATGAGCCCAAATGAGCACTTCACTTCTTGACAATAGAGAGCAGTGTTGCTCCTGCATATTGACTGGTAAACATGAGGAATCTGCAGTACCTGTGCTGGTGTGTGTGGAGCAGGACGGCCACTCGTGTGTGTTGTGAATCTGAGAGACACTGGCCATCATCTTCATCTGCTGACACAGGTGAGACTCATGCTGACGGTACAGCAGACCCTCAGACGCTGGCTCCTCTCGCTCCTCTACACACACACACAGTCAGGATGAGCCACATTCAAAACTCTTCTGTGAGTGCAAATCAACTGAATTCTGCATTAAAGCGTCAAATACATAATGCAAGCACATATCATTTATTTACAATTTTCATTTTAAGTTTTGTTACAATCTTACATTTTTAAGATTTTAATCTAATATCTATATTCTATTCAATTTTTTTTTGAATTAAGAAAAATAAATGTTAATAGCGCTGCATATTTTATGAAGGTTCATTTAATAACAGTCACCCTCCCACTAGGGGGATATTTAAGTTTACTTCAATATTTTCCTACTAAATCTTAATCTAATCGAGGCAAACAATATATCGTTGGAAAGGTCTAAGACTCAACAATACATATTTGTTGATAATTTTGCAGAAAAAAAATATATGTTGGAAGAGCAATGGATTAAAATATGACAAGAGTGCGCATCAAAAAAAAAATCTGTATCATTACAGAAGTTTTCACCTTTGTAACAAAAAGTCAACAACCACACTTTTAATCATTCAAACTTTGATTTGCATGCTAAAAGTTCACAATAAAACATATATAATCTAGTATTTGTCAATAAAAAAAAGTATATTAAAAGTATATTATTTATATATATTATTATCTAAAATATATTACATTTATCATAAATTAGGTATCATTTGAAAGCTTACGAACTCAGAATTCATCCTGTGAAAACTGTTTTGAAATTGGATGTTGCGTTACCATAGAAACGGTACTCTAAATTATTTTATCAGGCTCTGCCCAATCATCATGTTTCATAATTTATGATCAAAAAACCTTTTCTAATCATGACAAAACACATTGTCAGAAAGGTCTGAGTCTTAAGGTTACATATTTTGTGACAGAAGTGATATTTGGACAGAAATGTATTAATATTTCATGGCAGAATGCACACAATTAAATTCAATGGAATTCAATGTCGCCCGGTGGCTATTTTTGGTATTACGCCTAAACTGAATCTCATGGGAACTTCAATTTTTGTGATATCAACTTCAAATTTGGAACACAACTTGTTTAGACATATGGCTTTGACTGTCATTTTTAGGCTGAAACCTATATTAATTTAGATATATTTTTAATAAAAGAAAACATATTTTATTACATTTTCATAACAAAAAACTTAAACTTCAATAACTTTTATATAATTTCATTCTATTAATTTATTCCACTTCAGCAATAATCTGCCAAGTATTTTCTTTTAAAAGAGACAGACCATAAGTATTCAGTCGAAAGGGTTCATGAATTACAACCGCTTAAGTTTGGGTAGTGCATTTTCAAGTCAATGCTCAAAAAGGGTTGAGACTCATTTTAGACCTTCTTAAGATCAAGTAAAGAAAATGTAAGGCATAAATGTAAGGGAACACAATACATCAACATGTTCTCTAAATGTAAATGTTTAGGGTGAAACACTTCCAACATCTGATCTGATTTTTAACTCGCAGAAACCTTGAAACAACAACAATGCTGACGCATATCAACACCAAGATGATTTCGGCCTTTATTTTTCAGTGTTTATGGAGTATAATGTGTCTAAGATATGAGAAAGTATGCTACATATAGTATGCCTGTGTGCATCTAAGCATGCTTATGTTTACCGCCTGCTCGTGATGAAAAAGAGTTTGACAAGCTTTAATACGACAGAAACTGATTTTAAAGACAGCTAACCGGCTCAAACCCCATTATGTTGTAGAACATCATGCACTTTCATTTGGCCTCTCAAGGACACACACACACACACACACAGTCGTATACATGCACGCTTAACACAATCATGTACTTGAGCATTCATCCTTGTTTCCTTAGTAACAGAGCATGACACACAGAACGCATCAGCCGCCCTAAACGACACGCACACAACACAAGAGGAAGTGAGACGGCTGGCTCCATTAGTTATGAAACTTGTTGAAGTTATAAACTGCATGTTGATCCCCAAATGGAAATGGTTATATAGAGTAAATCATAAACAGTATGAACAAAAACACTTCTGATCACATGCCTGTCAACTGAGCACCACCCAAAGCAGCGCCCACTAAAAAAGGGTGTGTTTCAAATAATATAACACACACTACTCATACTTCCTGTAATACAGTGTACTCGCTTAATCTGAACTTCTCTGGATAATTACAATATCCCAGATGACCGACTACATCAGCCAAAACAACAATACAACAGCATACTTCATGGAATACTGTATCCCACAATGCAATTCGCTCAAATTAAGCTTCCATGTGTGATATTTTTCTTTTTATTATTCTCATTATTTGTTGGGAATGCAAAATTAATATTTTTGAAAATCGGAACAAAAATGCAAGATAACCATATTTACACTTGCGTTCAAAAGTTTGCGGTTGGTTTTTATTTGGTTGGTTTTTCTGCATTTATTTGATCGAAAGTATACAGTAAAATAAAGACAATAGTCTGAAATATTATTACATCTTAAAATAACTGTTTTCTATGTGAATATATCGTAAAATGTAATTTTTATTCCTGTGATCAAAGCTGAATTTTCAGTATCATTACTCTTCACTCTTCAGAGTCACATGATCATTTAGATATGCTGATTATACATATTTTTACTGTAACTTTTGATACATTTAATGAATCCTTGCTGATTACCAGTTATTTTAACAATTATTTTAAATAAATCTTACAGAGCCCTAGTGTATCTCTGAAATCATAATTTGATGCCTCTCCGTAAATTAAATATTATTCTGCATTATGTTTTTAAATGTTCATCTGTTTCATACACTTTCTTTTTTTAAATAACAGGAAGTATAAGAGCATATCCTGCACAGTATGCAGTGAACAATATGCATTATATACAGTAGGGGTTGCACTGACTAGTCGAGTTTAAAGCTCTGCCATGATGCTGTACGCTTGACGTCGACTAGTCGCTGATCGTGGCCTATAGAGGGCGCAACAGGATAACAAATCTTTGAAGTCCACTTTAACGCTCCATTTCAACAGTTAAAGGAGAACTCCGGCGCAAAATGAACCTTTGGTCTAATAAAACATCGGTACCTAGTCAATCATTCTCTGAGATTTGTTTTCATGATAATTGAATGTAAAGAGTTTTATCTCTAAAACTGTTTAGCGTATAATGCTAATGGGGGCATTTACTAAGTAAAAAGAAATCGCTAGTTTATACCACTAACAAGGCTCAAAATAGCCCCACACTAACACAGTAACATAATGAGGGTCCATACATGCAAAACGAAGCATTGAGAACTTTGTAAGTGTACAGACCGTTTAATGAGAAGATACTTTAAAAAAACAGTTCACTTCGTGTATACAGACGGCGCAATCTTAGAAAATAGTCTCGATAAGTCGATCCACGAACGACGTGCTGAGTGATCTGGACTGTATGAAGTTCAGCAAACTTCTGAACTGTATGACGGCGTTCGTGGTTTGACTTATCGAGACTATTTCCTAAGATGGCTCCTGTATGTACACACGAAGTGAACTGTCTTCATAAAGTATCTTCTTATTAAACGGTGCTTCGTTCTCAATGCTTCGTTTTGCATGTATGGACCCTCATTATGTTTCTGTGTTAGTGTGGGGCTATTTTGAGCCTTGTTAGTGCTATAAACTAGCGATTTCTTTTAACTTAGTCAATGCCCCCAGTACTAGCATTATACGCTAAACAGTTTTTAGAGATAAAACTCTTTACAATTATCATGAAAACAAATCTCAGAGAACGATTGACTAGGTACCGATGTTTTATTAGACCAAAGGTTCAATGTTCGCCGGAGTTCTCCTTTAAAATAACAAACAAATGTAGAAGTGAAACTCTAAAAATTTGAATATCCTGCTAAAGTTAATTTCAGAAATTCAACTTAATATTTAACACTAATATATTATATAGACACATTACATGCAAAGTGAGATAATTCAAGCCTTTATTTGTTATAATGATGATTATGGATTACAGATATAAAAACCCCAAATTCAAAATTAGAATATTGTGAAAAAAGTTTTCATATCTGTAATCCATAATCATCAAAATTATGACAAATAAATGCTTGAAATGTCTCACTTTGCATGTAATGAGTCTGTATAATATATTAGTTTCACCTTTTAAGTTGAATTACTGAAATAAATGAATTTTTGCAGGATATTCTAATTTTTCGAGTTTCACCTGTGCACTGAGAGAGCGCTCCACATATAAGTTTGATTACACCACCTGGAAGCTCAACATTTATCACGTGAATGCTTGTTTTACACGACTTATTGCACAGGTAAATGAATCGTCGTTCTACATCACGCACACACACACACACACACAAATCACATGCAGATCGCTCACACAGAAACATTCACAGAAATGTATTGTCAACACCGTTCTGTGATTCATCAATAAAACAGCTTCGCAACGGGAAAGATCTATCATATATTTCATAGTAACTAAAACCCACAGCTTCACTATTAGCAGAGAGACGCTGCCATGTAGAACTAATTCACACGCACTCATGCATTCATAGAAATGTAATCTTGACTGTGCTACTTCATCTGGATCTGATTGAGAACAAGCAGAAATCTGTGGGAAATATAACGACCCAAAGACAAAAGAACTGATAATGATATTGTTTCAATTAATACATTTTTAGCTAACTGTGATTTGTATATGTACATTTCTGAAGATAACACATAACTCTGAATTGTAATAATGTGCATTTTCTGTAAAGCTGCTTGTGAAAAGCTCTATACAAATAGATGTGAAATGTGCAAAGATTATTAGATACCGTACCTGTGTGGGGCAAAAAGGCCATGCTTGCGATTGGCTGGCTAGGCGTCTTGCGCTGCTGCGATTGGTCGGGTTGGCAGTAGATCTGTGATGGGGTGGTCGTGTGTGTTTGTGTCTGGATGAGAAGTGGCCGAGGGGTCTTGCTCAGCTTCGCTTCCCCGTCCTGCGCTGATGCTGGGTGTGTGTGTGTGTGGAGGCACGGCGTGGAGAATGATGCTGGGAAGAAGATGTCTTTACTAAACTTGGGAGTGGTTGGCGCATCACTGGAGCTCTGTAAACAGACGGGACAGAAAAACAGGGCCAAAATGAGTTGACGTGCTCAAAAAAAAAGAAAAACAGACTTCAATGGAGCCAAAGAGAAAGTGATAGAAGAAGAGAAACAGTGAAACAACAGAGAGAGTGAAAGCTCCGGTCGCCCGCGCACTCTCACCGTCTTCAAACTGTCTTGCTCTCTCTCTCTCGTGCGCATATTAAAGAATTGAGTTGACTGGATATCTTTGAGAAGACACAATAGAATTTGTTTTTTTTTATCTGAACTACCACTGGTTGTGACTCGTGCTAAAATAACATCGCCAAACCACACTTTCAATAAACAAACAAAAATATCTATCTAGTGATGAAATGTTTTCTGTGTTGAGACCAATCTTGTGCGATGTCCTAAACTGCCTGGATAATCACGCAAAGTGTGCCGTGGTCCGTTAATGACACGTCTGATTCGCGAACTAATGACTGATTCACTTTAATGAATGATTAAAACAACTGATCTGTCCAGCACTGAACTCGAGAGACATAAATCGGAAACACTTTACAATAAGGTTCCATTTATTAAAGTCATAATAAATATAATAATAATAATGGAAACATTCTATTAATGTTTGCTTGTATGCGGATTTACTCCATGACAAAACCAGCCCAGTCATTCGAGAATGATTCATTGTTTCCAAATAGAACTATTCAAGTCATCTGGAGAAATTGTTTTTATGTCGCAATTGTGTTTTCTATACAGAGATATCGACATCGGTAAATATCAGTATCGGCCATAACAGCAATATTAATATCAGTCATCGTTAGCGGCAATAACAGCAATATTAATATCGGTCGTCGTTATCGGCAATAACAGCAATATTAATATCAGTCATCGTTAGCGGCAATAACAGCAATATTAATATCGGTCGTCGTTATCGGCAATAACAGCAATATTAATATCGGTCATCGTTATCGGCAACAACAGCAATATTAATATCGGTCATCGTTATCGGCAATAACAGCAATATTAATATCGGTTCATCGTATCAGCAATAACAGCAATATTAATATCGGTTGTCGGTATTTGGCCATAACAGCAATATTAATATTAGTTATCGTTATAGGCAATAACAGCAATATTAATATCGGTTGTCGGTATTGGCCATAACAGCAATATTAATATTAGTTATCATTATCGGCAATAACAGCAATATTAATATCGGTTATCGTTGTCGGCAATAACAGGAATATTAATGTCGGTTATCGTTATCAGCAATAACAGCAATATTAATATCGGTTATCGTTATCGGCAATAACAGCAATATTAATATCGGTTATTGTTATCGGCAATAACAGCAATATTAATATCGGTTATCGTTATAGGCAATGACAGATATCGGTTAGCGTTATCGGCAATAACAGCAATATTAATATCGGTTATTGTTATCGGCAATAACAGCAATATTAATATCGGTTATCGTTATAGGCAATAACGGCAATATTAATATCGGTTATCGTTATCGGCAATGACAGATATCGGTTAGCGTTATCGGCAATAACAGCAATATTAATATCGGTTATCGTTATCGGCAATAACAGCAATATCAATATCGGTTATCGACCATAACAGCAATATTATTATCGGTTATCGGTATCGACTAATAAAAGCAATATTAATACCGGTTATCGTATCGGCCACAATTTTCACATCGGTGTATCACTACAAAGTCATATTTTTATTGCAGGATTAACAGAGTTATATTACTACGGGCAACAAGTAATTTGTAAATGTTAAAAAGTAAGTTAAATCGATCTGGTTGTCATATTAACGTCACATGAGTTCAACAGTGTCTATTATTTACAATGTGATTTTGCAGAGTATTGTGGCCAATCACAGGCCTTTCTGATAATGACCAATCAGAGGATTTGGTCAGAATGTGAGAATCCACTCAGTAGTATTTTGAGTTTGTTTAGTGCAAGTTTACTAAGTTTCACATGCATACAAATCCTCTCGTTATAACAAACAAACCAGACACGATGTAAATAAAAGATTTATAGTGAAGTTTAGTCAGATTCATTGATTTAAAACGGGACTTTTCGCACTCAATGAGTTTGCACTGAACGGACTGAGCTTCGGGGATTATAAATTAAGCACTCTTTACTCACTGCCTGTCTGTGCCCTTTCATTCGCAATTTGAAGAAAAGTTTGTGTTGCATGAGGCTTTGTGATTATTTAGCTATATAGATTATTTTCTCTAATAATAAATTCAAATGAAAAAAGTGAGGGAAAAAAATTATGTTAGGGAGTGGAAATGGCTAATGAGAAAAGTAGTACTCTGCTGCCATCTACAAGTTACAGTCATAATTTTGTCTCTTTTTTATATTAAAATGAAAGTATTAGAGCCAGACCGATATATCGGCCGGCCGATATTAGTCATTTTCCAAAATATCGGTATCGGCAGTTATAATGGCCGATAAATGAATATTTAAAAAATAAAAACGGACAAAACACGCTTCAATCATCTCTCCTTGGCCTGTTATATTGAAAATGTATGTTTTACAATTTGCAGTATGATGTTATCTATTGCTAAATTATGGCTCATCATAGACTAGCTAACCACAAAACTAGCTAATGCCACTATCATCAGTGGAAGACCGCTAACGTTAACATTAATGAGCTTGGAAACAACAATGAACTTTTTCTGCCTAAATAAAGTATTTATTACTGTATTTATAACTCGCATATCTCTAGTTACAGTCCCTGCATTGTAAAATGTAAGTTATACTTGCGAGGAGTGAACATTTAGACATAGAGAAAAAGAATCAAACGTATCTTGTGCAGAAAAGTTAGCTTTTCTTTTACACGTGTGTGAAATCCAACATTATTTAATAAAAAAAAAAAATATCGGCCCATATATCGGATTTTAAAACCCAAAAATATTTGTATCGGTATCAGCCTTCAAAATCCTTTATCGGTCGGGATCTAGAAAGTATTTGTATTTCAAGTGTTAGTTTTCCAATTGTTTTACAAAATCTTTGAAGGATGAACAAAAAATATTTTTAAGTCATCACATTCAAAATAACATTTCAATTAGATAATATTCAGACTTTTGAGCTTTAAGTGCTGGAACAAGTTGTGTGAAGTACTTGAAAGCCCTTAATCCTTATAACAGTGGTCTAATTTGCTTGGGTTACGGTCAAAACTAACACACACTTGTCGTCACATTGAGGGAGTCAAATTTTTTGACGTGATCAGAGTTTGCCTTTTGCTTTTACCTTGACTTTTGGTGAAATGACACCACTCATTCTCACAGTCAATAACACAAAAGTTGTCATAAATAAAGTATTATGAAGCAAATACAATTACGCAAGCAGGACTTTAACTCTTAGAACTGGTATAACAGCAATATAGCTACTAAAGATCCACACAATGAGCAGGAAACACTTGTTGAGCAAATATCCATGCAACAAACTTAATCATCCAATCAGCTGCATCTGTGAGGCCTACCTGTGATATAGTGCTTCGTTTTGCCCTTCATCAAGACGGACGATTCAGTTCACGCACAGCAGGAAAAGCATGTGAACGGGCAAACAAACTAAACAGCTCTGGGTCCTGTGTGCGCGTGTGTGTGTCTTGAGAGAAGCACTCAGGGACAAGCTCACCTCACGGCTCCACAAACACACTACACGACAACAGAACCAGCCGTTGCCATAGCAACATCCAAACCGCAGCCAATAGCTGATCAAACGTCCACGCACTTTGCTCTCTCTCTCTCTCTCTGAAGAGTTGGACTGGTGCCGATCACGTCTTTTTGGTTTTGTGCACTAATGTTCAGTAAAAGCTTCCCGTAGGAAGGAAGGAAACCGCAGCTTATTATAAAAGAAAGAACTCGATGTCGATTATGTAGATTATGTACACTCGCAAATTTCTAAGGTCCCTTCTTTATGCCTCTATGAGATGTTTTTGTGCATTTCATCATGCGGCAGGTCAATTCTTCATTCAAAATAGTGGAATCCGTTTACATATTCTGTGTAAATGTGAGTGGTTTCTCACTGCCTGTAGGCTAGGGAGTTACAGGTGGTTGCCAAGGCGTTGCTATGAAGTTTCTGAGGTTTGTTTTTAACAAGTTGTTACATAGTAGAGATTTCCGAGTGGTTGATAGATGGTTTCTTATTTGCCCAAGTCAAAAGAGCACACACTCAAATCTCTGTGAAATCTCGATGACTTTAGTCTCTCCTTAAATGTTAAGGCAAATTTCACATGTGCAAAAACAAACAAACTTGAATCCGATGCAAAATCCACATGGGGAAATTTCCGCAATACACTAAATTTCAGATAGTGTGGATTCCTAATGAGATACATCATATACATCTATACACACACACTCACCAAAAGGATTATTAGGAACATCTGTTCAATTTCTCATTAATGCAATTATCTAATCAACCAATCACATGACAGTTGCTTCAATGCATTTAGGGGTGTGGTCCTGATCAAGACAATCTCCTGAACTCCAAACTGAATGTCAGAATGGGAAAGAAAGGGGATTTAAGCAGTTTGGAGCGTGGCATGGTTATTGGTGCCGGTCTGAGTATTTCACAATCTGCTCAGTTTCTGGGATTTTCACGTGCAACCATTTCTAGGGTTTACAAAGAATGGTGTGAAAAGGGAAAAACATCCAGTATGCGGCAGTCCTGTGGGCGAAAATGCCTTGTTGATGCGAGAGGTCAGAGGAGAATGGGCCGACCGATTCAAGCTGATAGAAGAGCAACTGTGACTGAAATAACCACTCGTTACAACCGAGGTATGCAGCAAAGCATTTGTGAAGCCACAACACACACAACCTTGAGGCGGATGGGCTACAACAGCAGAAGACCCCACCGGGTACCACTCATCTCCTCTACAAATAGGAAAAAGAGGCCAAAATTGGACAGTTGAAGACTGGAAAACCGTTGCCTGGTCTGATGAGTCTCGATTTGGCGTAAACAGAATGAGAACGTGGATCCATCATGCCTTGTTCCCAC